AGTGAGCTCTTTCTGGTTGAAGATGTATCAGAGGCTATTGTGGTAGGTGAACACGACACACTTTGTTCCGTAGATGTACTGTCTCCAAATTTTTAAGGGAAACACTACAACTCCCAACTCTAAGTCATGGGTAGTGTAGTTCATCTTGTTTGGCTTGAGTTGTCTGGATGCATATGCAATGACTTTATTCCTTTGCATCAGTACGCATCCTAATCCCTGGTGTGAGGCGTCAAAGAATACTACAAAGTCTTTCGTTCCCTCTGGAAGAGACAAACTTGGTGCACTACACAACAGTTGTTTCAATTTATGGAAGGCGGACTCTTGTCTGTCTCCCCGATTGAAATTTTGTTTTTCTGGGTTAATACAGTGAGAGGCTTGGCTATCTTGGAGAAATTCTCGATGAATTTTCACTAATAGCCTGCAAGTCCTAAGAATTTCCATATTTCAGTTTGCATTGTCGTTCGGTCTAAATAGCATAACCAGAAACCCGTAGTGACCGTACCGAGTCCTGAATGTCGTGTTTGGAATGTCTGCTTCTTGGACTCTGAGTTGATGATAGTTGGATCTTAGATCGATCTTTGAGTAGTAATTGGGTCCTTGTAGCTGGTCGAACAGGCCATCGATCCTCGGGAGTGGATATCGGCTCTTGGTGGCGAGTTTGTTCAACTCTCGACAGTCGATGCCTATCCTGAATGAGCCATCCTTCTTTTTGAAAAACAATACAGGAGCTCCTCATGGAGAGAAACTTGGCTGGATAAAGTCTTTGTCTAGAAGTTATTGGAGTTGACTGGATAGTTCTTACATTTCCGATGAAGCAAGACGATAAGGAGATCGTGCCACTGGTGTTGTACCCGAGACTAAGTCAATTCAGAATTCAATCTGTCTGACTGGAGGTAATCCAGGAAATACGTCCGGGTAATCGCACACTTTTAGTATGTCTTTGATTTCCTTACCCTTGTCTTGTATATCCACCACGTGGGCCAAGAAAGCAAAGCGTATCTTCTATAAACACCTTCTCGCCTTCATGCAAGAGATGATTCTTAGATTCTTTCCTGATTTGTCTTTGTATATCACAAGGGCTTTGTCATTGGGAAGGGGTAGTCGATCGGATTTTTTATAACATAAGATCTATGCTAGATGAAGTGATAACTAGTCAATTCCGATGATCGCATCGAAACTTCCAATGGTCGTAGGTATTAGATTGACGTGAAAGACGTGGTTATTCAGGGTGAGAAGGCAATTAGTGGATATTTCTAAAGTGCTTTCTAATTGGCTGTTTGCTAAACTTTTACCGTGTAAGCTTGATTAAGTTTGCATGATCTATAGTTAACCATGCCTTTAAACCTATGGAGAATAAAGCTTCTATCAACACTAGTATCAGATAATACGGAAGCATAAATATGGTTGATAAGAAACATACCAGTGACTACAGTTGGTTCCTGGCGAGCATCTCTAGCACTTATCACAAATGCTCTTCTTATGTCACTCTGATTCTTCGGTTTCGGGGAGTCCTCCTTAAAATTCCCTGGTTGATTGCACTTGGAGCAACTTCGGCTTCTTCCTAAAGAAGTGTTTGAGGTTGTGTCATTCGGGGTCTTTCTACAAAACTTAGAGGTGTGACCTCTTAAGTTACAGATGCTGCAGACCATGCAATCTCCGACATGGTGGAAATTACTCTTGGTATAGTGAGGTAAAGTCCTAGAGTAGGGCTTTGATGGAGTGGGAGTGTTTGTGATTACGGCGTACACAACCATAGGTTTTGGATTGGGTTTGAGATGTTTGAAGTTCTCTTTTGACTTGTCATGGAACTTCCTTTTTGCATACCTATCCTGGTTCTTTTTAGTTTGTGGGGTTATGGTACCTTGACGGATACATTATTAAGTCAATTGATAGGCCAATTGCATAGCACTATCGAAGGTAGTGGGTCTGGATGTAGTAACCACCTTGAACCGGTGAATCTAATCCCCAGATGTACCTTTCGGTCTCTTTGTATCCCGGGTTCACTAGTCACGGGCAAAGGTTTGCGAGGTCGTTAAATCGGGAGGTGTAAGCGGTCATCTCCAATCCTTTCGTGGTAAGGTTCCAAATTATAGAGAGTGAACGATTCCAGAAATCCTACAGATTTCCAAATTTTAGATAGAGAATTAAGATCCTACTGATTTCAAATGATAGAGAGAAGTTTGGAGACTATAGAATGATCGATTGGGAATTATAGGTTTCTATGCTACAACGGTAGCATAGCTATTGGTTCTTTGTTCTTCTTTGGGTTTAGGTAAACTAGGAAAATCTGAACGTTATCCAAAATTCTTACGTATTTGTTTTAATGTATATGTTGTTTTGGGGTTGATATAAGGTTTCTAAGGTACTAGGTTTTTGTAGCGAATCTTGAGAACATTCTTGGATCTCTAAAATTTCGACCATTGTATTCTGTAAAACTCCTTGCTCAAGGTTGGTTGTGCATCAGCCCGACCATAAATAACATAGGCGTACATTCCAGGTTTATTTATGGTATGGCTTATGTACGGTACTAACCTTAATTGCGGCGTTTGACCTAAAGGGTTGAGTTGGTAGTTTTAGTTGGAGCTATGCTAGAGTTTTATTAAGTGTTCTCATCACGGATTAGAGTATATATAACTCTTATATGCTATTTTTTGTGGGGTTTGTAGCATTATTAAATTTTGTTTTGTACTCCAAGACTACCAAGTACAGACGAGGGCCAGACAGGAAACACCGGAGGGCATGACCATTTTAGCAATTAAGCCGTTTTGAAATCTAACAACCCTACCGACCTTTCAAACCAGATTCGTCGTACCGTAAGTAACCAAGAAGTAGTGTAATTAATATCAATAATACTTTTATTAGAAGCTAGTTGCTATAGTTGTATTCCTCTTTCGAGTATACGAGTTCTCTATAGCCAATTTAGCTCTGATACCAATCTGTCACACCCCCGGCCGAGGCGGCGGAACACGTCGGGCTGTGCGACTAAGTTCATGGATCACAGGTAAACTGAATATATAGCACCAGTACAACAAAAAAATAGCATTAGATTTCCATCTTGATGTTTAAATACAATGTTCTTACAGATAATAATAGTACCTGAATTGCCATAACAGATAAGCAGATAATATAACAGCTAGTAAACTATGTCATCTATAATCCATTCCGTCTTGAATATCTGTTTAGTGATTTCCTGAGTATACATGTAACTTTGAGGGTCAACACAAGATTGGTGAGAGTTATAGGTTTTCTGCTAACAGCAGTAATACTTTTAATAAGTCTAAAAAATATTTTCTTTTTATGTATAACAATAGTTAATACAATATTTGTAATGAGTCTTTAAAAGCCAAAATGTATTTTTGTATAAGTAAATTTGTACTTAAAACTATGTTTGTAATGAATCTTTGAATATCCTTGAAAACCAAAATGTTATGTTACATAAGTAATTCCATACTTAAAATAGTTTTGAAAGCAACCAAGCCCATGGTTGGTAGTGAGAGAGAGATATTCTAGTTAATGTTTATAGTGAGTCCTATAACGGAGCTATGTGACTGAGTGTACCCCATACAACACTTCATTAGACGTTGTAGTAACAATTATAGACACCAATCACACGCTTCGATTGATTGGTCGAGGTTGTAGCTAGCAACTGCAGGTGGAGATGTCAACCCCATATAGATTTATACATATGTATCACGCTCCGAAGATTAACGGTTACAGCAGTGTGGGTATCCTAAGTGTTTACACTCGACTAATGAATAACCTCTCACTAAAAAGTCATTAACTAAAAAGTTTGCGAATAACTCTCAGCCCTAACTTAATTGTGATTAAGTCACTAGGCATAATGAATATCGTTGTATAAAGTTTATAAAATCCGAGTATGTTTGACATGTTTGTAAAAGTGTAATGTGCTCGCTTTTATAAAAATGAATGTTTCAAATTAATGAACATCTGTACATGTATAAACGTTGTGTACTTAAGCATATAAATCAACATGCATAGTAATAGTTTGAAATCCTTGAAATATTAAAAAGTTTTATCACGCGCTTGTTATAATATACAATGTCACATAAAAATCATATATTTTATATCATGTAGTATTTGTTGTGTAAACTAGTTATTTCACGATAAAATAACCACAATATGTATACGAAAAGTTTATACTAGTTTATCTGTAACAATATGGTAAATTGTTAAATAATAATATTTTTATAAACTAGATTTATTGTATTTTCGCATAAAAAAGAAATTGATTTGTATAAACAAAATATTTAGACACATGTGTTCCCCCGAAATAATTAAAATATTAAAAAGGGGTCGTAAGCACTCACCTTTGAAGCATGAGTTCCAATCGTTCGGATTCGTTTTCTTTGAGAAGCTAGACGTGAGAAACCACAAATCCACAATTCTTGAAATTTTGGAATACTTTCGGGTCCATTTCGTAATGAATTTAAACCATAGGGTTTTTTTTTGTAACTTCAATAAAACTATAGGGGCTTTTTGGTAATTTAATTGAATGAATATGACTGTTTTGGTTGATAATTATCAAAGTATGGGTTGTTTTTGAATAAATTGGATCATTATTTGGGTATTGGGACTGATTTTGATTAACTTAATCGAGGAAGGGGTGATTTTGTTCATTTTAAAACAAGGTTTGAGTCTTTTGACCTTTGACTTGGTCAAAATCAGAAACACGTTTTTAGGTCGTGTTTCGTGTTCAGTCGATCAAAAGGGGCTCCAAGAACAAAAGAGGCGTCGCCCTCTTCACAGATCGGGAGAGGGAAGAATCGAGCGATCAAGCAGCGAACTGAGGTGGTCTCGGTGGTGGTAATCGATCGGAATAAGTGAGCATCTCCGGTGTTTGGCCGAACCAAAGGAAGGAGGGCACGAGGCAGCGAGATTTCGCTCTTTCTTGTCCGAGTGGGAGGTGCGAAGAGAGGAGGAGCGATCGGCGACGAGGGGGTTTGCCTTCGGGGTTTGAAGAGGCCGAAGTGACGGAGGAAATGGTGGAGTGTCGCGAGCAGCAGCAGCCAGCAGCAAAGGAGTCGGTGTCTTCGGTGGGTGCAGCGATGAGATGCGATCGGGGGTTGAAGAGGAGGCACCTTCGGTGCTTGGCTGGACCAAAGAGAAGAAGAAAAAGAGAATGGAAGCAGCGGGATGTGAGGTATACCATTGGTTTTCGATGACAAAACCCCGACAATGAGCTGTTTGGTGATCGGGATAGGCTGCAGCGATCACCAACAGGTAAGGGTTCCTTCTTTTTTCTTTTGTGATTTGGAATCAATGTAGGATAAAGATCCGTTTGGGTTTGTTTTTGACAGAAATTGATAGGGCTGTTGCTGTACGACAAGGGAAAGCAGGAAAACAGATGAGGAAAGGGGTGTTTGAGTGTTGCTTGTCATCGAGGGAGAGGAAGAACGGGGTTGCCTCTTCTTTACTTTCACAGGTAAAAATCTTAACTTGTGTTGTTTATTTGGAGCTTTATTGACAGGGAAGTGAAGGAGAAGAAGGGTTGAGTGTTAGATTGAGGGTAGAGTGGGGAAGAGGGTAAACGTGATTGAATCAACACTTGGGATGATCTTTATTTGATTGTAATTGTACAGATTGATCTTCTAGCACATGTAGCTAATTTTTAATTAAGATATGGGGGATATGGGGATGTACTTGAGTGATCTTGATAGATTTAGGATGATATTTGGGTTTTAAGATTTGTACAAGATATACTCACACATTTATAAATATTTTTATGATTTTGGGGAAGATTTTAGTTGTATAAATACATGAGAGATAGAGTATCAATGTAGCATTGGTTAAATTGAAATGTGAAAGAAATTAATATCTTTTGATTTGTTTTCTTTATATATATATTTGGTTATTTGTATATGGGTAGTTGTTTAAGACTTTTGAAAACCATTCATACATAAAATGTATATAAACATAAAATAGTTTGAGACATTTGCAAGTAATGTATTAATTTATTATGTGAGGGTTCTTTATTGTTCTCTTTGTTACATACATCTATACATGTATATATTATTTACGGTATATATTGTGATTCTTTGATGTCCATTTGACGATATTTACAAAAGAAAGTATACCAAAACACTTTATAATTGATTATAAATTGTGTTCCATATATATATATATATATATATATATATATATATATATATATATATACACACACACATATTTAGAAAAATAGGGCTATTTCTATTGTTAAAGTTCACATCAACCGGATTTGGATTCATATATTAATACGGGATACGTTACCGATAACAGAAATCATGTCGAAATAAATAGTTTAATGTTTCGCGATTAATAAATCTGAAAACGTCTGATTTTTCAACTTTTATAAATATTTTTACTAAAAATATTTAAAATATGAAATTAAATAGTAGGCTATAGCCTGAGTCCAAAAATGCTTTCGAAATTTCTATTTGAGGTGTGCAAGTCATTAACCTCAATGGATAGAAGCGGTTTTGACAATTTTAAGAAATCAATATTATATTGGTTTTGGATTCTTAAAACGGTCGTATATTTTGCATTCGAACTCCGTTTTGGACGTTCTTTATATTTTTGGAAACAGGGAAATGCGTACTACGAGACTAGAGTGTTTGTATTACTCACAATTGCTTAATAAAAAAGTTCAGTTTTCCAGACGCGTTATCTAACGTTGCAGTTTGAACACTTTGTTTCATTTGTCAATTTACACATTTGGAACTAAGATACCATCTGGTATTTTATACTAGTTGAAATGAACTCTTTTATTTTACAAAAAGATGCACTAAAACTCAATGAGTCAAATTACCAGTTACTTACTGTGAACTTAACCTTTCACAGTCTTTGACCTAAATTCCGAGATGTCACACTAGCTAGCTAGCTGTCCGATACCCGGAAGGATCGAAACTAATACATGCATATAGCCGCACATTGATACAAGGGCACACCTCGGCTGGGAGCATAAGAAATTTACGAAGAAGTGTCTCAGTCGTGGTACTAGTTAGCTTGCTAGCTGGCAGATATTCTCAACGATCCAAAATAATCCATGCATACAGCTGCACATTGATAGACCCCCCCCCCCCCCGGCTGGGAACATATGAAATTTAAGGAGAAGTGTCTCGGACCATGAAACTAGCTAGCTAGCGGGCCGATACCCCTGAGGATCCAAATTAATCCACACATACAACCGAACATTGATACAAGGGTGCCCCGACTGGGAACATTAGAAAATTAAGGAAAAGTGTCTCGGACCATGATATTAGCTAGCTAACTAGCTAGCTGCCCAAAACCCCCAAGGATCCAAATTAATTCATGCATACAGCCGCACATTAATACAAGGGCTCCCCCGGATGGGAACATAAGAAAATTAGGGAGAAATGTCTTAGACCATGACACTAGCTAGCTATCTAGCTGGTAGATACCCCCAAGGATGCAAATTAATCCACGCATACAGTCGCACATTAATAAAAGGGCACCCCTGGCTGGGAACATAAGAAAACTAGACAGAAGTGTCTCGAACCGTGATATAACTAGCTAGCTAGTTGGCCGATGCCCCCAAGGATCCAAATTAATCCATGCATACAACCGCACATTAATACAACGCTGCCCCCAACCTAGGAACATAAGAAAATAAAGGAGATGTATCTCAGACCATGATACTAGCTAGCTAGCTACTGGTCGATGCCCCCAAGGATACAAATTAATCCATACATATAGCCATGCATTGATACAAGGGCTCCCCCGGCTGGAAACATAAGAAAATTAGGGAGAAATGTCTCGGACCATGATACTAGCTAGTTGGTCGATGTCACAAAGGATCCAAATTAATCCATGCATATAGTCGCACATTAATACAAGGGCACCCCCGATTTGATACATAAGAAAATTAGGGAGGAGTGTCTTGGACGATGTAACTAGCTAGCTAGCTAGCTGGCCGATGACCCCAAGGATCCAAATTAATCTATGCATACAGCCGCACATTGACACAAGGGCGCCCCTCGGATGGGAGCATAAGAAAATTAGGGAAAAGTGTCTCAGACCATGGTACTAGCTAGCTAGCCAGCTGGCCGATACCCCAAGGATCCAAATTAATCCATGCATACAGCCACACATTGATACATGGGCGGCCCTCAGCTGGGAACATAAGAAAACTAGGGAGAAGTGTATCTGACCTTGATACTACTTAGTTAGGTAGTTGGTCGATGCCCCCCAAGGATCCAAATTAATCCAAGCATACAACCACACATTGATACAAACCCCTCCCCCCCCCCCCCCATCTGGGAGCATAAGAAAATTAGGGAGATATGTCTCAGACCATGATATTGGCTACCTAGCTAGTAGGTCGATGCCCCTAAGGATACAAATTAATCCATTCTTATAGCCACACATTGAGACAAGGGGGCACCCAACTGGGAACATAAGAAAATTAGGAAGAAGTTTCTGGGACCATGATACTAGCTAGCAGGGTGATACCCCCAAGGATCCAAATTAATCCATGCACATAGCCGCACATTGATACAAGCTCCCCCCCCCCTCCCCCTCCCGGCTAGGAACAAAAGGAAATTAGGGAGAAGTGTCTCATACCATTATACTAGCTAGCTTGCTAGTTGGTCGATGCCCCCAAGGATCCAAATTAATCTGTGCATACAGTTGCACACTGATACAAGCCCCCTCCCTGATAGGAACATAAGAAAACTAGGGAGATCTATCTCGGACCATGGTACTAGCTAGCTACCTGATACCCCCAAGGATCCAAATTAATCCACGCCTATTGCCGCACATTGATACAAGGGCGCCCCTCGGATGGGAACATAAAAAATTACGGAGAAATGTCTCGGCCATGATACAAGTTAGCTTGATAGCTGGCCGATACCCCTTAGGATCTAAATTAATCCATGCACACAACCGCACATTGATACAAGGGCGCCCCCTGGCTGGGAACACAAGAAAATTAGGAAGTAGTGTCTCTGACCATGATACTAGCTAGTTAGCTAGTTGGTCGATACCCTTAAGGATCCAAAATAAGCCATGTATATAGTTGCACATTGATACATGGCGCCCCCGACTAGGAACATAAGAAAATTAGGGAGAAATTTCTCGGACCATGATACTAGCTAGCAAGCTAGCTAGGATCCGTGTAATGCCCGCAAATTCGGGCTAGTAAACAAAAATGACTTTTTGATAGAAGATTATTTAGAATAAATAATATTAACCAAGTTATAATATATGACACAAGGGTTCTGTACATATAAAGAACGCCGAAATCTGAGTTATAATGAAGAAGTTATGACCTGTCGAAGTTTCATGACATAACCGACACGACACTGGGAATCGTAAAAAGAAAGTGAGTATACGATAGATTACTTTTCAACCTTAGTGATCTAAATGAAAGTTGTAGAGTACGTCTCCATCTACAAATGGATATAAAGAACGTCAAAAACGGAGCTCATATGCAAACGTTATGACTTTTCGTAGATGTAGCTATCTGAGAGCATGACACGTATCAGAAACCCTAATCTGACTGGACTCACGACGTGATCATGTTTTCTCACGATGTGGGGATTCAAACAGACACTAATTGAGGCTATAAAACACCTGGGAAGGCTACGAGATGACTCTTGGAAGCTCACGACATGAGCATATCATTCTCACGACGTGAGAAGTCATCCGAACACCTTTCGAAGCTATAAACGCATATGACAAATCTACGAGATGATACAGCCATGGCTCACGACGTGAGCATTTATTCTCACGACGTGAGAAAGCCAAAAACAGCCTATAAATAGCAAGCTCGACCCTAACCATTCTTACACCTAATTCTTTTCTCTCTCTTTCGGATGCTGAAGGCGTTCCCTTCCCGAGCCCGACGATCACGAACCGCTGACCGTTTCTAGTTAGATTCTATCCAATCACGCTACTAATGTGAGTGCATATTTACTTTCATCTTACACATAGATATGAAGTATTTAATATAAATAATGTGTTATGTGTGCATATTATTTGTGTTCCTGATATCTATGTTGGATGAATGATTTATACATGTTTTAAATGATTTAAACTGTATATGTATTTTATATCTACAAATATGTTGGGTAGAACATGGGTAGATAAATAATGAGGGATGAAAGATGATATAGATAAATATTGGCAGTTGCGCCATAACCCGCAGGTGTTTTTGATTTACGTGTTCACCAGATGTACTCTAAATATCATGGCAGCTGCGCCTAAAGGATAATATCGACAGCTAAGCCTAATAGAGAACATCATAATCCTGGCAGCTGCGCCTAAAGGATAATATTGGAAGCTGTGCCCAATAGAGAATGTCATAATCCTAGCAGCTATGCCTAAATGATAATATTGGCAGCTGTGCCTAATAGATAACATTGGCAGCTGTGCCATAGGTAATGATGGACTTCATGCCTATTCCTTAGAAGAATCCTTAGGAATGAATAAATGAAGGATAGATGGTTCTTAGGGTAGATCCCTAAGATTAAATAAGATAATGGGGATGGGTAATTGGGTTGATTGTTTGATGATTAAACATAATAATTATATTATTGTGGGTTGAAAACCCTATGTGCTCACCAGGTTTCCCAACCTGACCCACTCCACTTATTTGTATCACAGGTGTCGA